AAAACTCAGCTACCTAAATGCTACAGGATCTATACCCATTCTGGTTATTTTGAGGACAATACCAATAAAATAGTAAATGTGCAAATAAAGTAAATGAATCATGACCTACAGACACAGCATAAAATGAAACTTATCTGATTACATACAGTCAACACAAAATGCTTCTTTTATTGAAATAGAAACAGTGCTAGTGTTCAATTAGGCCATTCATACACTGAAAATCCCAACCATTCATTATGCTCGTCTTTACATTGCCCCGTAACCAGATGGAGCCTCAACTCCTGTCCTGTGGAATAGGAGCTGAGTTGAAAATAGGAAGGGTGCTGGGATTAATTAACTCATAGAAATGGAGCTCAGGGTAGGTACTGATGGTCTATGACTAAGTGGAAAAGCCATGTCCAGAGGCTTTCCATTAATTATTTTCTCACTTTATTGAGGAAGGAATAACTGCAAATAGATTTGAACAATGTGGGCATATCACTTAGGATTGCACTTTTCTGCAGAAACCAGAAAACCCCCCATGACAATTTAAACCAGTTAGAGACTCCACACCCCAAGTCCAGGGAAGGGCAATCCATGGACTGATAAAGTGGTTTCGTGACTTCATGTGGGGCCATCTTCCTCCATCTTTCCGCTTCGCATCTCGGAATGTGGGTCTTTGGTCTCGTGCTCATTGTCTCATGTTTGCAAGACGTCTACTACATCCCCAGCCATCGCATTGCACATGACTAAGGAAGGGAATGTAAAAATTTTGCCTGGAGTCTCCATCAGATTTTATGCTGAGACCCTAGTGATCAAAACCGAGTCAAATCAATCAATACCCTTTGCTGTAATCTGAAATTTTACATTTAAAAAAAATCAAGATCTTTAAGGAAAGGAGAGTAAAATAGGTATTAGAAGGGCAACTAGCAGATTTCACAGATATATTCTCAGTAGTTTGCAAACTGTCTATAAAAACTTAAATTTTTATTTCTTTTATTTCCACATCAATTACAATTTATCAATAATAATTTAAACATAGAATGAGATAGTGATCATATAGTCATATGAATCAGAAATGCTTTGTGATTTTTATTGTCCCTGTTTAAATCTATATTTTTGGTGGAACTGATGCCAAAGACCATTAGTTTAATTGCTATGGACTAATGAGAAAAAGAAAAACATAAGAGGCTGACAACACGTAAATGATGCACTTGGACAGAGTAAGACCAAATGACATCACAGCATGCTGTCCTGTTGGGAAAAGTAGAAGTAATCTGCAGAATCGTTAGACAAGACTTTGCCTTTGGCCAGTCTCTTGGAATTGTGCTCATCCAGACAATGATAAAGAGGAATCTGGAATGTTTTCTTTTTGCTGCCAGTGTTTGGAACCTCAGTAATGAGAAAAGCCAGGCATTTAGAGCAACCGCAGCTCTCTACTGTGGGCATTTCATTAACAAATTGCATGCTACTGTTCCAAAAATGTAAAAACCCAAAAGTTTCAAAACTGAAAAGAAAAAACTGGGCGTATGAGCATTACTGTGACGAAGAAAAAGTAATTTCTTCTATGGCTTTAATATAGTACAGTGGTTGTTGCGGGGGAGCACTCACTGCCAACCATAGGAATTATTTTTTTAAATAATCAACTTTAAAGTCACTTCAGAGCTGGCTGAGACATTAGATAAGCTCTATCTTGCTGTCCAAGAAGTGTGGCATTGTATTGCTACTGAGCTCTGCTCCCATTGCGAAGCATCCTCTGCTGTGTGGGGGACTGCCCGGACAGGTGCGCCAGCCAGCTGTCACTCTGACCAAAACACCTGCAGAGTCAAATGACCCTGTCACCCATCTGGATGACTCAACAGTCACGTGACCATGGGGTCCCCAAAAGTACATTCTCAATCTCACAAGTCTCAAAGGACAGCTTCCTTCTCCCTCGTTTTGGAGAAAACAATTCTTTGAATGCTCTTTAGCCCCCAAGAACCATTCCAGTCATTTTGAGCATTCTCTTTTTCTATTTAAATCCCTTCAAAAATGAGAATTGCCATTATGTGATGAAAAAGCCACCAGCCGTGGGAACATGACAAGTATCTGGTTTCAAAATGAACTCGAAATGGCAGAGTTTCCATCTGAAGATCATCTGCTAAACGTCCCAAACCCATGTTCAAAATCGTTCCCAGCCAGTCAGGCTTTTCCTTCCATTTGAGCGACAGCTTCATCTTTCCTTGGACGAACGTTCTGGAAAGGAGGCCTGCCAGGCTCTGGCTGGTTACAGCCCTGCTCCCCAAATGTGGTGCCCTCTCTCCTCCTCCATCAGCTTGCCAGGCCCTGCCATGTAAGGAAACTACCCAAAGCCCTTCGAAGCCTTTAAACCTCAGCCTCCATTAAAATTCCATACGAATAGTGAGTAAAAGTTGTGACCAACTCAAAACTCTCTTCAATTACTACTTAATTCCTGGAGGGCCTGAGCTTCTAGCTACGAGTTTTAATACTTCTGAGAATCCAAAATATACAAGAAGATCCAATTTATAACTGTGAGCAATTTTTTAAAATTTCCCTTCCTTTTGTTCCTTTTATTTTCCAGCTTTTTTCACATCAAATTGACCTAAATCTTTTCTTTTCTCTCTTCTTTGTCCTCAATTTCCTACCTAAACTCTCCCAGAGGCTCAATATTTTCTCCCAGCTCCCTCTGTCCTCTCTCTTCTCTTTCCTGTGTGGCCCTCTCAGGTAGAAATCATCCACTTCAAAATCTCCTCCTCTTCATCCAGATGACTCATGTTATATAAATATATATGATCACATTATATACATATATCTGAGACATATATATGAGATATATATGTGGAAGTAGTGAGTAATACAGACAGGTATCTCCAAAGTTTATCTTAGGATATTGAAGTGAAGAGATGCACTTACAGTCAAATTCCTCTTTAAAGCAGTCCCCATATGGCTTAGTGATGCAATCTGGCCTGATTCAGGAGACCCAAATGCGTTGGTACATGTGAATACTACCTGCCTTCTCTATTCATCAGGTAGCATAATTAAAAGCCTAATACTTTCTGCCAGTTGAACAGTCAACACCAGGCACAGAAAGAATAAGACTTTCTCCCTTTCTCCCTTTCTCCTATATTCAAATATAATTCAAATATAACCTGATATCTTTAGATTATTATCCAAATAAAACATAGAAGTTTAAAAATTCTTGGGGAGAATTCACAACTCTCCAAAATGGCGTGACCAGTGGATCAGACTCTGAGTCAGATGGTCCCTAAGGTCCTTCATAGCCAGCACATCCTGTGCATCTGGGCACAGTGAGTTAAGTCAGCCCAGAAAGATGGTTCAATGCCTGAATGCCACCTTCGACACACTTAAACCTTAAATCACTTCTTTCCTCATGGACTCCGAGATTGAGTCCGAAGATTAAGTGGCTTTCTTAGCAGGAATAACTGGAGATATATCTCACAACTGGCACTAAAAAAGCCCTGTGGAGTTTCACGGTGAAGTTTTCTGAGGCAGCGGGAGAGGAGATGGTGTCCTGTTTATAAGATCTCCTTCCTTCGCAGCGGCCGTGATGAGCAGGTAGCCAGGCAGATGTCTGTGCAGAACTTCCCCCAGGCTGTGGAGGAGACGAGGAGACAAATCCATCTGCACAGTGGGATGAGAGTGGATGCTTGTGTGTGCTGCCCCCACACACGCCTGTTCTGGAGCCTGCAGTTCACAGTACTGATGATTTGATTATTTTCTTTCCAATACTTCCTGTGGGCAGATACCCTGGGGAAGGGTTATGCCCTCTTAAAATACTATTCTTTTCCCTCATCATGCCCTTCCACGTGTTCTTGGATCTCTTCACATCCTGCTGTCCTCCTCCACTGATAATCCGGGATACCCTGCAAGATGCCACCTGGGACTCTGCCTCCTATCAGAGCATATTCCCAGTCTGGCTCGTGCTGAGCTTCTCCTGACTCTCTTAGATTGCTTGTGGTTTTTAACTCGTTTCTCTCCACAGTTAAATTCCAAACATGCTGTAAGACCTGTGAAGGCCCAATCCCCACACTCAGAGCTGCTTAGGCACTCAAAACTGTAGCACAAGGACGGGATAGAGGAGGACTGGTTTTGGACAACAGAGCAGAGGATGGTGCTGGGGTCCAAGCACGATGGGGACTGAGTGAGTGGGCGGCATCATAGGCGCTATCAAGAGAACACTCCACATCTTCATGCCCATGGCCCCTGTGAGCTTCGAATTTCCTTCTTAACATACATCTGACTGAGGGAGAGATACCAAGGCATAACCCAACATGGCACTGAATATTTTGCCTTTTGTTTTCCTGGTTCAACCAAACTTCATCATTCAGAAACACACAGGAAAACATGTCTCCTGTCTTATTCGACCTCACCTTCAGAACAGACAAGTAATTTCTAGTCTGGGAAGGTCACAAGGCTGTTTCTGTAAAGATCTTAACCTTAGCTCTGTGTCTACACAACTGTCGGGGCTCTTGCCTCTGCTTTAGGGAGCGCACCCTGCTTTAGGGAGCTCACCCAGGAACAGAAGCTGCAGCACACTGCAGACCAGCTCCAAGTCCTTCAGGGTAGAGAAAGTCTCACAGTCTGCCTCCCGGTCCTCTGTTGCCAAGGGTCACAGAAACTTTCTGTGTTAATTATGCATGCAGGATCCTGGTGGGGGGTGATCCTTCCCCTCTCAGGAGCAGAGACCCTGAGCAGACACTTAAAACTGTCCTCTATGCCAGTGCAGCCTCACACAGCAGGGGACGTGAATAAGGGAAGAGGAAGATCAAAGAGCAAAAGCAGAAGCCAAAGGAAGAGGCAGAGAAAAATGGAGAGGGAGATAAAGGAGAGAGGAGGGCCAAGGAGAGGGAGGGGAAAGAGAAATAGGTGGGAAGTTGATAGGGACCGGGAGCCAGGGATAGGGCTGATAATGAGGTGGTCGGTCCCCTGTTTCATGTTCTCCCCTTGATATTTAAATGTCCCCTGACTGAAGTGAGTGGAATGGTACTGGGGGATGAACGGGCCACCTTAAAGCCACCACCCCAAGACACCTGGGTTCTGGTCCTCTATAGGGCCCTGACTGCCCTGCACCAACTTCTCTGAAGTCCAGGGACTTTAAAATATCCACTCGAGTCAGCTCAGCCATTTCAGGGAAATGCATTTCCATCAAATTATCACTTCTAGCAGTGATAGAAAAATTAATGATTTCTTGAAGGGACTATTGTATTTAAATATTTCAAGCCTGTTGGTGTGATGTGTATCAGCCAGAGAGAAACATATTGACTTGGCACTGCAGCTAATGCCGGCTTTTATAAATATCCTGTCAGATAAATAATGACTCTCAATGGATCCAATATGATGTACAGTTCTAAAGCAAACAGGGTTTTGCCAAGAGGCTCAAAGGAAACTGCCACCACAATAGCATGGGTTGAATAATGGAAGTTTCGTTTATCTTTTCTACCAGAGAAAGGAGGAGCAGACACCAAGGAGAAGGTAGATTGATTCCTCAGATTCCACAAATGCTCCAAACTTTGAAGGCCTCCAACAAGGCTTCCAGAATATCAAAGAGCAAGCAATAATTTGCATTTGGAGGCATCCCCCAGGAAAACAGGGTGATTCCTGCTGGGACACACATTCGGCTGCTTTTGGCTGAGGGGAGGCGAGGACCTGCGAACCGAACACTGTCATGTCTAGGGCATTGCAGACATCCTGCCGTCCACTTTATCCCTGCGGTCCCCCTTTTCTTGCCTTCCTCCCATGACCTACCCTTTTATCTACTCCCTTTTGCATTAGAAAACAAACACCATTAGAAAATGTGAACCCTGGCTTTCTCTTCAGAGTTACAAGAAGTACTTGGTGAAGGGTGAGTATGTGATGAGATTAAAAACCACTGGATGGAGAGAAGATGCTATTGTCTGTGGACTTCAATTATCCATAGGCAGTCAAGGACTGACCCTGGTACACTGGCAGGCCCTCAATTCATCTTCAGAACACATTTGAGGATGAGAAGTTACAGGACTTTAAAATTCTAAATAACCCCATTTAGAGAAAGCAGGCAGTGGCTTACCCTGGACTCTTCTGACCTACTCTGGCCTTTAATGCTGCTTCATTTTAAAGCAATTGAGAATCTCTGCTCTCTAACAAATAAATGAAATAGAAAGATTAATTAAAATATGGAGCAGAAGATGCCCTAGCAATATTTCATATGAGGATGCAGCAAAAAAAACCATGCAAATCAACAGTAATTTTAAAAGCCTCCTCTTAACTGAAACCTTTGTGTTAATAGGGTAAAATATCACATAGCTTTAAAAAATTAAAATCTGACTTGTGAGCTTACTATTGCTGTACTCAATTTCCTCAAGTGAGCGAGCCATCTCAGGGCTCCTGCTAAGAATCCTTCCAGGCTAGCAGCAGTAGGAAAGGGAAGTCACCTCCGCCCACATGTCTGGATGTGTGTTTATGACTGAACATTTTTCCCACTTCCCTAAATTCTGTGACCTTCAGTTTACAGTTAACTCGGGCATCACCATGTATGGACAGTCATGAGCCCTTTAAGGATGGGCACACACTATGAGGACACATTCTAAGACATGCATCATCCGGTGATTCTATCCTTGTGCAAACATCATCCGGGGACCTACACAAGGTTAGATGAGACGGCCTGCTGCATGCCTCAGTTACATGGCATAGCCACCTCTGTGGAAGCATCCTGTTGTTACTGGCAGCCTAGTTAGTTAGAAATATTATAGGCAGTGAGACAGGGCTAGGTCCTCCAAAGAGCCAGTGCAGAAGCCCAGATACCTTGCACCTGGGGGTGGGGGGAGACAGACACCTCCTGCTGTTGGTCCAATCTCAAGACAAAAGGCAAAGCAAACACACCCACACCGTAAGGACTGATATCCTAAATAGTTCCCTATCATCATGAGGAAGCCAGGAGTCACCATTCCAACCTCCTAGGCAAGAGGCACTGCTCCCTAAGAACGCCTGCTTTCTACATGACTCTCTTCCCCATTTGTCCCCAACTTAATTTTACCTGAATTATTAATTTTATCGGTTAACTATAGTTCTGTCCCACCTTATGCCCATCTGCCTTGTGAGTTCCCAGTTTTCCCCAACTTGAACCCTCTCACCCCATGATTTTACCCTATAAAAATCCCTGGAAAAGACAGAGTCCCTGGCAACCCGCTCAGGGCTCCTTGGATCTCTCTCAGACAGAAGCTTGCTTTCTCTCAATATATTCTGCTCTTAGTCTCCAATGTTCCTAAAAGTCATTCTTCGATTTTAGAGAACACAAACTTATACGGGACATAGTAGGTTGGGAGTTTCATTTCCCTATATCACTGTCACTAACAAAAATGTCACTGTGCACATGTCTGCATCCATGTTCACAAGGTGTTCCGTGACTGGCAGCAAGTGGGATCCTGAAGAAATTGGGACCCACAGCTTCCCAGGCATAGTTGCAGTGTGGAACTCAAGGGACACTGCTCCATCACACGCAAGTGACGCAGAACAGACCTTGGGTCTCAATCCCAAACTTGAACAGTGTCGGGAGAGAAATGTGGACATACAATTTGCCTTTGAGTATTTCCTGTTTGTGAAGGAAATGGCCCCTGCTTCCCAGGTGCTTGGCTCTTTGGATACGTTTTTCAAACTATAGGAAAAAGCAGAAAACAGAAACTGGTTCTTATTGAGGGAGGTCTCCATTCACCTGCCTAACTGAGCTCAAGTTGACATTGCCTTTAAGCCTGTGGTTATTTTCCTTGGTGGCCATTAAGTGTCATCACACAGCCAAAATACCCTCATAGCTCCCATGAAGCTGCTGTTTCAAATTTTCACTGTCTGCGTTCCAGACATGAGGTTGTCATCTACTAGGAAAGACTGCAGCCCTGGCATCTCCCACAATTAGGGAGAAGAACCCTGATCTAAGTAGGATAAAGGGACATGGTTCTGATGGAAGCTCCACAAGTAGCCTCTGGTGACTGCTCGGTGACCATGTCCCCTGTGTTTACTGGGACTGAAGCCTACCTTGCCCTCCAGCTTGCCTCTTGAGGGCTTAAACAAGCACGCTTAAGAGACATTTGTTTGAAGGTGAGCAGTGTCATGCAATGCGCAGAGTCCGTAATCCTTTTTTCCTTGTTTCAGTGATGGTACAACTCACCCTGGTGGCCAACCACCATGTCCTCTGATGTTTGAGGTTCTGCTGACATCTACAACTGTGCTTCCCTTGCTCTTTATTCTCTGGCCTTTGCTACATCTCTAAAGGAAGCTTAATTTCTGCAAAACATGACTGGCAAGCAGGAAAGCGTTTTGTCCAAAAACTAGAAAGACCAGCCCTAAGGGAAGCAGACACAGCCAATCATGGAGCCACTCTTTTGGAGCTGGTCCTATGCCTTTACAAACTTAAGATTTAGCAGTGAACATCACAGGCAGGGTCCCTGTCCCTACATCCTCATTTGAAGGGAGCACAGGACACAAATCAAGAGTAAAAAAGAAAGCCAAAATGCACAAGATGGTCACACGTTGTGGTGCGCTCTTTACACATTGTTCTGCCACAACCACAAACAGGTCACAATTTTGTGCAAGGCCCAAGGGCAACACACTGAATCCCCTGGTCCCTCTGCAGTAGCTTCCCCACTCTCAGAAAATGGTTTTACTGCATTCTTTGCAATGAGTGAAGGGCTGTTCTGCCTGTCATTCAGCAGTAGGAGCCCCCAGGCAAATGAAGTGACCCCTGTCTTTATATTCAAAATGCCATAAAGTAGGGCTTACTATGTTATTTTCATCTAAATTAGATTTTGTTCATCCCCAAGTATAGAAACCACTAGAGTAATAAGTATTAAAAACTCACAATTTGATTTACTTCCACGATTCCCCCTCATTCCCAGAGACCATTCTCAATTTTTCTACCAGATATGGGAATACCAGAACCAAGCGCTTAGAAGGGTTCTTTCCTGGTTTCCTAGGTCTTTATAGCTCTTGAAGTATTTTATCTTTTCCTTCAAAATGTTTGCAGACTTTGCTGTCCCCCACTAACAACCTAACTCTGACCTTTATACTTAACTTTAAAGTGATTTCCTACTTGCCTTCTTGAAATTCCTTGGGTTATGACATTATTTTCTAACTTGGGTAAACCACTAACATTTCCTCTATCATGAGCCCCTAAACCACAAAGGGCCCCCAAGGAGCCTAACTCGCAGTCACATATTATAGCTGCTTCTCTTTGTTCTTCTGCAGGGTCCTGCTGGCAGCTGGCAGCAGCCCCAGAACTGAGGCTGCTCCACAGACCCTGGGTTCCACATCCTGCTTGTTTCTCTCTGGCTGCCTGTAGGTTTCTTACCCAAAGTGAGCAATAGAGTCTCTGGAAACCTTTTCTACACCAGCAGGCAAGCCTTTGAGACTCTAAAAGGGTAGCGTTGGAGAAGGCAAAAATCTTCACTCAAAGTTTTCAGCAGGAAATGGAACGTCTCCAAAATGGTGCCGCCGCACAGTTGCTGGACAAAGGCGACAGGAAGAATCACCGCATGTCTCCAGAATCCTTCAGCGCAGAGCAAGATTTCCTTTCATGGCAGCTGTAGATGGCATTACAAAACTTTACATCTTTGTGAGCACTGAACAAGTCTTTATTCTCAAATAAAATATGAAGAACGTTAAGGATTCTACACAAGAGCTTAAAATGTATGGAAATGTTCCTGCGAACCAGACAAGCTATTCAGCATTTCAGCAACACACAAGGGAGAAGATACAATCATCTATTCACAAGAGAAGCTCCATGTCTGCCACAATTGATCTCTAAAGAGAAAGAGCCACAGCTATGATCATTTATGCTTAAAAAATATTTAAGTATTGCCTAGTAGATGCACTGGACTCCAGAGAGAAAACCAGGCCATGAGGACCCTGGGCTCACCTTCAATGCATTGATAGTCAACAAAACTTGCACAAACAACATGAGCAGCTTTAGTGCAGGCCTACGAGCACTGTGCCAGGGAAGCAGAGTCAGGAAGAAGATGAGTTTAGTGGTAGGTAAAAGGATTTGCTGGAGAGGCAGAGAAGGAGCCTCAGATACAGGCTGAGAATGAAGAATGTTGCAGGACAGAGGAATTAGGTAAGGCTTCATCATCTTCCCAACATTATCTTCCATCGCTGTCTTTCACAAGCTTCCAACCCCTACCAGGACACTGAAAACACCATTTCTTAAACACATTCTGTGCTCTCCAACCTCTGAATACCTCCTCACATTCAGCCCCAGATGAGTTACCCCAACCTCATAGCACCAGATCAGAGACAACCATCCCACAAACCCCACCCAAGTTGTAGCTCATGAGCAAACCAAATGAGTACTGTTATTTTAAGTCACTCTAAGTACTGAGATGGTTTGTTAAAAAGTATTAAATAATCGGGACAATTCATCTAGATGACCTTCTTTTTATCCTTCAAGATGTCAAGTTTCATATTTCAAAAATGGAAAACTCTCTTAGATTTTTCAATATTCATAACACGTCAGTTTGGCCAGTTAATTAACAGGCTATTTCAGTGTTGTTTGAATCTCTTTCAAAAGCTCAAGGTGGATCCTCAGTTCAGCACAATAGGAAGTGGTAAAAACTCCAGGAGGTGGAGCCTAAGGGAAGGAAGTTAGGCCATTGGAGGGCTTCCTTAATAAGGATTATGGGAGTCTCATGTCTTCCTCTTTCTCTTTGCTTCCTGACTGCCAAGAGGCGAGCAGCTGCCTCTACCATATGTTGTTGCCATGGACTCAAAAGCAGCAGGACCACAAACCATGAGCTGAAACTTCCAAAACCGTGACACCAAACAAGACTTTCTTCTTTTTAAGCTCATTCATTTCAGGTATTTGTTACAATAACATAAAGCTGACTACCACACTCCTCTTTCTGACTGAGTCACAAAAATGTGTGGGATTCAAACTGCATCTCACCAAAGAGTCTCTGGGTAGGGATGAGTCTGGTTAGAATGTGAACCTTCCACCCTACTCCAGCAAAAGCTGCTCATCTTCCGTCTGTTTTCATATCACAAGTTCACCCTAAGAACCCATTTAAATGAAAGATTATACGACTGTAAAATATTTGAAAAGTATTGTTCTATAGTATTAGTCTCGGGAAACCTAAGCCGTTTCCTCTGCTAGTAACTCTGATTGCATTTACAAGCCCAGGGTGCAATGGCCTCATCCTTTTCCCATTTCCAGCCACCACTAAACTGAAGCCCTCGTTACCTTTTCCTAGCATCTCTCATATGCTGGACATTTTTGCTTCTACCTGGGATACCTGGTACATGAAACATAACTTCTGCTGCTTTCAGAAGCTCCCTCCACAAGCAACAAACCAGTGACACCTGCTTGGAAAAATTCCTCCCAGGAGTCATGGATGACATTTCTGGGAAAGATCCCAGAGTGGCACATTGGAAATTAATAAGCGAACCAAACAAATGGCTCCGGTGGAAGCTGCAGCCTCTTGCTCATTCAGCAGAACTGTGTTGTCAGTGTATGACCTACCTGTCTCCCTGGGCCACTACTCCACACTGCTGGAGCCATTTGACATTATCTCTTATAGGATGAGTCTTGCTTTAGACACTAGATTCCCCCAGTGTTCCAGTCAGCCATGATGTAGTGACATTTAGGTTAGAAATACAAGTATTTTGTATTATAAATGACCTTTGTTGGTCTCGTCTTCTTTACAAACAGATCTAGTGACTGGCCGTGACCGGGTGCCTGTTCTTACCAGTTTACAAGAACTGAGCCCCAGCCCTGCTCCTACCCCAATAATCAGCCTTGTGCTCGGTGTCTTCTAGCCAGAGCCCAGCCATCTTTCTCATCACTTAGCCTGACACAGGCTGACAGTGATGCATGCCTTCCTGAGAGGAGCATCTTGCCACATCTCAGACCCCCCACCTCTGTGCTCCACCTCCCTGCAGAAGTACCACCTGTCACCTCATGCTGGCCCCCTCGATGCTGGCACTTCTCCAATCTGCCACACTTTTCAGCTGTGTCACACACAATGCAGGCAGACTGCTCCGATCCTTCCGGGCAGTCAGTCTCTCAGGGTTTGCCCCACCAAAATAGCAAGATGGAGTGAATTTTTCCAAGGATGTCGAGTTTTGTTTTGTTTTGTTTTGTTTTGTTTTGTTTTGTTTTGTTTTGTTTTGTTTTTAGAGCTGCTGGAGCAAAGTACCAGAGACAACATGACTTAACAGAAATTTGTTACTGCATTACAGACAAGTTGGAATCCTGAGATCAAGGTGACAACAAGATTGACTCCTTCTGAGGGTTGTGAGGCCCCAGGGCTCTCTCCTGGCCTTGGAGCTACCATCTTCTCACTATATCTCTGCACGTCATCTTCCCTCCATGAGCCTCTCTGAGTTCTTCTTCTTATAGGAGCACATTGAGTTAGGGCTCAGACTAATGACCTCATTGCAATGATGCCCAAAAAGACCATTGCTCCATGTATGGTCACAGTCTAAATTAGGACTTCAACATGTGTATTTGAGAGTACCAAATTCATCCCACAACAGATGTCATTGCTCCAGATTGGTTTGTCCTACTTTTTGCCTAGGTCTGAGCCTAAAAGAGCCCAATTCAACTTCATGTGGAATGAGGAAACCCCAGCTGACACCTAAACAGCACCCATAGCTAGACTTCAGATGTGAACGCATCTTGTGGGCTGAGAATATGCACCTGCCAAGAGTCCATCTATACCTGCAAGACAGATGGAGGGGGCTCAGGGATTTGGGGTCAGAAAACTGACCCAAAGGATGGCTGGCAGATGAGTGACCACTGGCCAGAGAGAAAGCTCTGTGTTGTCTATTGGATATTTCTTGTAATCCCTATAAACTCTTATCCCATGGGGGGAAATAAGCTTCAAATTAGAATAGAAGACATTAATTTTTCAATGCTTTTAGTTTACTAACATAGAGCAATGCTACCTTGGTACTTGGCTAATAGAGAATACCATTATCCCTGTTTACTCACCTGAAATAGCGTGTCTGGGTACAGGGATAGCTCGGAGACCACGTGGAAGCCTTGACAACCTGGCCTCTGGTGCATCAGCTAGATGTGGCATGAGTGGCAGCGTCTGGTAGATGCATAAATGTACTTCAAAGGCAGGCACAAGAGGGCAGTGTCCAACAAGTGCCAAATGGCGGGGATCATTTATGAGCACACAGATACTGCATCTTGGAAATGGTCATAAATTATGGAGGGAGACAATTTTGTAAGGCACCAAGTATTTTATAACAGGTGAGAATAAGAATTCATAAAATTTATATTGCCTTTAAAGATAACTGTGTTTTGTACCTAACTGGTAACTAGGGCTACCAAAATCACATTTAAAGGATTTTCTAAAAGACTGAGGTTTTTAAAAGGGAGAGGGGATTCCTGATAGGTTGCAGCAATTTCAGTGTGGCTTTAGCTAAGTCAGAAGAGCTATAATTGAATGTTAGTATCTATCAATACATTGCCTCCCAAAACACCGTGTTAAAGGGAGGCACACATGTGTCTCTCTCAACATTTGTAGACCGTCATCTCCATTTGGGCAATGGAATTCGTATCAGCAAAGTCACACCCACGTGGCTTAGTTCACCCACCTGTGCTATTCTGAGTCCACTGAAGAAGACTGGGGGGCTGGGGATTTAGCTCAGCGGCATAAGCGCCTTCCTTGCAAGTAGGCAGTTGTGAGTTCAATCCCTGGTACCGATAAAAACGAAAAAGACCAAAAAAAAAAAAAAAAAAAAACACTGAAGAAGACTGGTCAGAGCTGGAAGCTGTTAGGGTCACTCCATTTGTAAAGACGAAATTCCTGGAAGAGGGGACACATGAGCCCCAAAAGATCCCCAGCAACCCAAGCACTGCCTGGATCAACTGCATCCAATCCTACAGTCTCACTGAGCCCCACTGACTCTTAACTGTGGCCCGTACTAAAAGTCTCAGCTGCTTGCAATGAATCTATCAACCAGGGTGGAAGGCTCACGACTTTATTTTCCTCATTGGGAAGTAAGTGAGGAAACCAAGGAGAGAGGGTAACAGAGGGCAGAAATCCGGAGGCTAAATTACAGGTTTATATACCCATGAAATATTATTAGCCTTGTCAAATTCCTGCCGTGCTTCTGCATTCTCTCTATTTAGATTCTTCCACAGCTTCAGTGGGACCCCAAGCTCTATGCTTGGCTGCCTCACGAAGTGTTGTTATTTAATAGTTGATGCATTCTACCCAGCTGTGGCACCAATTCCCCACAGAGGTTTTGCATTAGTTTAATTTTTCAAAGCTTTGCAAAAACTGTCTACTTTAACAGAAATAATACACAGGGATGGGACATTTCGTCAAGATTGTTTTTAATAAAGCTGTGACTCACTGGTGATAGCAATAGGACCTCCAGTTCAACCTCCTCAGAGCTCCAGTCTGGTAAAGGACTGCCTTAGTTCAAGAGCCTGAGAGGCACCCAGCAAATACCAACTTCCTTCCTGCTCAAGGTGACTACACACGTGGGCTTGTGTCAAGCATGGTGCATACTTTCAAATAATGTCCTTAGTTATATCTCAGTGTTTATATTTTCAGACCAAATTATAAATCTGTACAGAGACCCTTCTTGGCTGCTGCCATACGGATATTGCACTCCTCTGGGCTGTCAGTTCGATGGTCGCCGGTCATTAGGTAGAGATCAGCAAAGGAGCTGCATCCACGGAAAGAAGGGAAGCTGCCTCAAGATTAATCTGGAGCCTGGGGAACTTAGAAGCCACAGAAAGAAGACAAAAGCAAGCTCAAGTCCTTGGAGTGGACTTGTTTTCCTCCCTGTATATTCTGACTTTTAGGACGAAAGATACAGGGGACCAGTGGCACCGAACTCTAAGGGAGAGAGGGGTCCTTGCCCTGCACCTTCTAGTGGATGTGGCCACCAGAGGGGCTGTGGGAAGACAGGGCAGAGAGGACAGTAACATGGAGACATTTTTGTCTCTGTTTTTCCAGTGACTAACAGATACACACCAGAGTGTGCAGGTCCTGTCAAAACACCCCCACTCGCATGTAGTTGTTCCCTTTTTGCTGCAGTGACACACTCGTGCCTTGAGGCTTAAGGATGGTAAGCACCCCCAGGCACTTTGCTGCTCCTTGAAATTTTCATACATCTGACCACACCTTTGTAATTTGCCTCTTTGCTAAACCATCCCCACACTGTCCTTTAAAAATGGCAGAAAAGCAAGGGAGGGTGGCATTGAAAACCCTTATTACACCCATAAGTACAATGCAGATGCCCAGGACAGATTTTTATGCATGAAGCGATGGTCACTTTACACATTTGTGGCCAGTAATGTCCAGCTCCACCATTCTTTCAACCGGTATTTCTTTCTTCTGTTGGCTTCCAGAACACAGGACTGTTCTAGGGAGGCGCATGAGCCTTAGGAGCTGCCTGAGCTGCCCACCTCTCCACTCGCAAGCTGAAGTCCCGCAGCCTGCCACGCATTCACCTCTGACCCCTGCTCTCTGTGCAGCTGGCCCTGCTGGGATTTAGGGGTTCATCACGGGAGCTGGCCACAGGACAGCCTCACGTGGGTGTCTTTGCCTCACTTCCTTCTGGTCCCTGTTCGACCCTGGACAGTGTCTTTCATGCATGGATCTGCCCACAGTTAGCCCGCTGGAAAAACTGCTTCCCAGCTGCGGAGCAAGCACCATGGTCCTGACCCGCCTTTCCACCGATGCTCGCGTCACACCGAAACTTGTTGTTCCTCCAAGCCGTCAGGCTCTTTCATGCATCTGTGCTTTTCACATAGTGTTCTAGCTACTTGGAATGCTATCTCCCCATTATCTCCCTGGAAAATTCCTAACCCTTGTAAAGTGTACACAGCATCACCGGACAGGATTAAATGTACCTCCTGTGTGGTCCTATAGCAGCCCACATATCCCTCTGTCCTGTCACTTAGGAGAGCCTGCTGCAAAGCTGATTCCTACTGTCTCTTCCAGTTGACTCGGATGGGGAGCGAGGGCCCTGTCATCTTAATTAGGAAGCAGAATGCTCCTCTCGGAGCTGCCCACGGCTATTTCTGCATTCTGGGTTGTGCAACAGAATTTATCTTCAGGGGAAAATTGTGGTTTTTTAAATATAATTTGGGAAAACACTGTGGTGTACTTTTTAATCTGCAAAGAAAATGCCCAAAGCCTGATATGAAAAGAAAAAAAGAAAGAGTAAAGCAACAAGAAGCCAGTGTTCAAATCAAGCCCATGGGTGGCCTGGAGCACCTTTAAGGAGACATTATCTGACTGATGAAAAAGTCCTCTCTGCTATTCCCCAGGGAGGATCCCGGGGCTAAAGAGAGGGAAGGGCCAGGGCTCAAGGACCCCATGGGCTGAGAGAGAAGCCCTGGGTCCATGATAGCCAACGCCCTGCTGATGCTTTTCTTTCTATGTTATTATTCTCACACAATAACTTCTCAATACCACTGTGATCTGCTCACCACTGCTCATAGTAGCAGCCTTGGGCAACAAAGGAAAAAATATATTAATGCTTTGGGGCAAACCGGAGCAGAAGAGCAAAAGCACCAAGAATAGGTAAAGAGGGATGTGATAAGGGGGATCCACACCAGAGCAGGCGCAGACACTGAGGCGATGCCAAGGAGCACAGGTGCACCCTCACTTCCTGCTTAAGAAGGGTCACTGGATTTCCTGTAGCTCACAGACTGCTTTATGTGGCTAACAAAAGAAAGGTATCCTGGAAGGCTGGAAAGTTTTCCTATGCTTGGGTTACAGTTATAATTTTAGCAATTAGCATGGTTCTGAGCACATTGAACATGCTCTAAAAATAGTGGGTAAGCGCACGAATGAATGAATAATGGATAAAGGAATAGAAATTTTGCTTCACTGTGGTCTTACATATTTGTTCTTCACAATTGCATCGTGTTTTTCTTTCCTCTTGTGACTTAGCTATTATAAGGCCTTAAGGAGTTGGGGAAGAGGCTAAATATAAACAGAACAGCAGCCTCTTCGTGACAAGCCCAGAGTCCTGATCTCGGTGAAATGAGGAGGATGGATGGTGAGTTAGTTCAGGACATCAGAGAGCCAGTCTGAGCTCTAATGTGCTGGTCACTCTCAGCCCAAACTCGAGCCCCAGGCTCATCTGTAGCTGCAACAAAGAGGTGAGGTCACCATCCTGTAAGGACAGCATCCCATTTGCTCCTGTTTGCACTTTCGCTGGAGAACTAGAGTGGCCCTCAGCAGGTGAAGGTCTCATTCTTTTCTAGCCATTGGAACAATCAACCCTGCAGACAGGGCCAGCAGACCCCTCCTGTAGCAGGGAACTGACCTGTGCGAGCTGCCACCCCTGGGCATCCCTGGGCCTGAGGTCAGTAACTCCTTGTGTCTACGAGTTTATTCCAAGCAAAGCTCTCAGCCCTCAGAGGCTTTGCCTACATTCATAGAGAATCCAAAAGGTGCTCTAGGTCCCAACTTTGACCTCCCCATCATTCCCTTCCTCTCTATGCACTTCAATTCTTTGCAAGTCATTGTATTTTTGTCCTGCCAAGCATAAAAGTTTTGTTCTTCTCCACCAAGACTGAGAAAGTAAGGTCACAGGAAATACACACACACATACACACACACACACACACACACACACACACACACATACACACACAGGAGGGGGAGAGACAGCAGCAGGGAACAGGAGAGACAGACATATAGGGGGAGCCCAGGCACATCCCAGGCTCACAGTGAAGGCTCCTCACTCCCTGGAGTGCTCCGGGTGGCGTGGCCAGGGCATGCACTCTGGTGCGTGCCTGAATTGCCAGTGGAGAGGCCTGCGGGCATGAGGAAGGGAGCGGGCAGCAGAGGCCCACCAGGGGAATTCTCAGCTCTGCTGCTTACTACTACGAGTGCCTCTGCGAAAGGATGCGAGAGGCAGAAAAGGGCAGGACTGTGCGCTGTCTGTTACTGCTTGTGGCCTCAGAACTTGACAAAGGATAGGAGAATTACAGAATTAACGCCAAAACAGGAGGCAGATCAAACAAGAAATGGCAAACAAGAGGGGTTTGACAGTTTAAAGACTGTTCATCCACTCTCAATAGGACGAGTGCAGGCAGGGAGAGTGAGAGAGCACAGAAGAGGCACCGAGGTAAATGCATGCAGATCCTCTTCCCACTCGGGACAGGAACGTGAAAACACAGGCGAACCACAGCAGCAAAAGATTTGCTGTGGGATAAGAATCCATCACTGGAATTTGTTGTTCAAATAAACACTATCTTTGCTGGGTATGCAAAAAAAAAAAAAAAGAAGAAGAAAGAAAGAAAATAACTTCTAATGGATTTAGAACTGCCCATCAGGAGATTTTCAAGATAAAAAAAATATATCAGATCCTGAGTTTGGATTTTCCTAAGCATATAGGAAAACTAAAAGAGAATAGACAGACATCTACTTAACAGTATAGGGGAAAGACCGAGTATAAAATAAAGCTCAGACACCTGCAGCATCTATAAATACATCCAAAATCCATAGTGATCAGTAGTACTGATTAAGGAGGCAAGGTACTGTGGTTTGGATCTGAAATTCCCACAAAGCTCACACATTCAGAAGCAAGGCTTTTGCGGGATGGCTGTGGGAGCACTGTTCTTATGGGTGGATTCACCCACCAAGAAAATGTTCTAGAAATTTCCACCCCAGGAATAGATATTGTTTTTTCCACCTACTTTGCAGCAAATATCAGCACACTTCCCTTGACCCATTCTGACCCCAGAGGCCTCTCTATCATAAGGGCAAGCATGATCTGCCAGGGATAAAGGTTCAAACACAGCATGGCGCAATCACTCAGGAAATGTTCCTCCTTCTTCTCCAGAACAGCTTTGGAAAAGAAACACTGGATTCTTTCTGTAAGGTTCCAAGTCTCCATCTGTGGAGGCAGAAAAGCCAGGAGCCAGGACACAGCAGGACCCCTTGAGTAAAGATAAAGCAAAAGAAACTGTGACAAGGGTTTACTTTTCTTTTCTCCCCACAGGGGACAGAGCAAAGGCACAAAAAGCACCACTCTAGCAGCCAAGCAGACTGGTAGGAGGCATGCAGTTCCCACTGACTGGAGCTCA